TAAACAAAATATAAAAGCCTTGTTATAACATTTTCTCATTTTTAACTTTATTTCTACCCAATCTTTTTATTAAATTATACATTTCATTATCTGCTAGTATAATAAACCGATGACAATGGCGGACTCCACTCCACTATGCTGCGCATTTCAGTAAACGTTCAATTGCCAAAGTTTTGTTGGAAAAAGATGCGTCTGCCGCTTATATAAGTGATAAAGAGAGAGGGATGTCGGCTCTTCATATGGCAGCTTGGCAAGGCGAGCAAGGGATAATGGAAGAAATTATCTCCAATTGTCCAGGTTGCTGCGGAATGGTTTAAATCGATACAATTACAACCAATAAGAAAAAATCGATTCCATCTAAACCAAACGTTATGATTTCAAATTAATTTTTAATTTTTTTGGTTTTCTCTCATCCTTACCTTTCATTATGTATTCCATTTTTCCCTTTTTGCAATGATTTTTTTTTGTATTTCAAATCCTAATTTTGATTATTTATTATTATTTAAATTATTTATTTATCACAATGATTGAATTGATAAATATTTCTTTAATTCTTCTGTCTATGAAAATAAAATAAATGAAAAAAATCAAGAAAAATTATTACTATATTTTAAATTAATATATTTTCTCTCATTTTGTTTTGCATTAATTTCTTCTTTATATTTCATTTCCTAATTCTGAGTATTTATTATTAACTTACTTATTTATTATTATTGTTTTTTACTATGGAATTATTATTATGTGAATTGATTCTAAAAAAATTATTGAAAATAATAAGTTTATAATCTTTCTTCTATACAAGAAAATTAAACTAAATGAAAAGAAAATCTTTAAAAGTTAGATTAGCCTAATTTAATTTTCTTTAATTTTTTTTGTAATTTTTATGAAGCAGTTTATCCCTAAAAAGATAATAAAAAAAAAGAGAAAATATAAAATAAAAATATTTACAAAAAATAGATAAATGAAAAGAAATTTAAAAAAATGAAAATGAAATTGGAAAAAATCTCATGGGATCCTTTCAATATATTGTATAGATTTGTAAAGGAAACAATAAATTAGGAATTTATTAAAGGAGACACATGCATGTTATTGTTAATTATCTAAACTCTGCATATAGTAGTTAGAGTTTAATATTTTCCTATCAGTAATTAAAAACTTTGCTTATAGTAGTCCACTTTTAAAGAGTAATAAAATGTAAAATTATGTAGTTAATAAAATACTCATATAATCTCAATTTTTTATCCATCTTTTCTTTTTTAAAACCCAAAAAAGCCAAAATCATTTTATAGAGTAAATAGTAATCGTTATCCTTAAAATGTCGGTTCCCTTTGGATTTTCAAAGTCACCTTTTTCAATCCTCATATTTGTAAGCGATGACGCCTTGGTCTTTTATCAGTCGTTAAATCATTTCAGACGTTAGAATTCTTATCATGTGTCTTACACTTGACATCGGTTAGTATGCACGGAAAATTGATGACTTGAAATTTTTTAGAAAGGAAAAGGTAAATATTAAGTACAGGCAAATAATAATTTTTCTGAAATTGAAAAAAAAAAAAAAAACTAAACAAGTTTTGAAAAGGAGAGAATAGTAAAATCAAGCAGGGTAAGCTTTATACCTTTCTTTCGGTCATTTTGGTCGGAATATTGCCCGGGACTTCCATCCTCTGTACTTGAAGTGCACGATCTAGAAGAAAAGAAGTTAAGAGAAAACCAACCAAGGAGCTGAGAGCAGGCCCCGCATTAAGTAGATATTGGAGACGGCGTGTACCCATTAACATTCTTTTCATTGAACAAAAGATTTCTATTTGTGAAATCATTAATCTTGTTATCAACTAAGAATCTCTTAAGTTTTTTGGGAGATACTGCAACGACAGCAAAGTGAAGAAAATTCCAGCCTCTTTTGTCCACCATTCCGCAGCAACCTGGACAATTGGAGATAATTTCTTCCATTATCCCTTGCTCGCCTTGCCAAGCTGCCATATGAAGAGCCGACATCCCTCTCTCTTTATCACTTATATAAGCAGCAGATGCATCGTTTTCCAACAAAACTTTGGCAATTGAACGTTTACCGAAATGCGCAGCATAGTGGAGTGGAGTCCGCCCATTGTCATCGGTTTGTTTTGTTAGTTGCATTTTTGCCTCTATTAGTTTCCTTACTGTCTCTGTCATTACCAAAACACAACAAAAAGATCAAAAAGTTCAACAACAGCAGTACATGTGAATTTATTTAATTTTGAAAAATGAATGACCAAGACTATGCATTTGTTTTGTTTTATTTTCCTTGTTTGGCCAGGGGAGAAACAGAACATGCGTTCCCATTGGCAGAAAAAGCAACGAGAATAGCCATTGAGTAAATTATCCCAAAACAACAACAACAACAATAACACAAAATAATGAACTGATCACTTACTTTCATCTCCGGCCAGGACTGCTGCATGCAAAGCTGTTCTACCATTGGGGCCGCCATAAACCGTTGATTTGCAATTATCTAACATCTCAGTAACCATACCGTGATATCCTCCCTCGGCAGCTAAGTAGAGTGGAGTCTCACCGCTTGTATTAGCGGAGAAAGCAAAATCAGGATCTTCTTTGACCAATAGTCGCAACACATCAAGATGGCCATATCGAGCGGCCAAATGGAAAGCAGTATTTTCTTCCTCATCCCTCATTCTCAGCATCTGCCTCGCCCCGGTTGCATCCAACCCTCTCTCCGGGTCTTCATGTAGCACTACATTGGCGCGTTCAATAAGGACTTTGACTATGCCAGAATGCCCATGTCTTGCTGCAATGTGCAATGGGATTTCCCAGTTGGCATTGCGTTGCAGTAGCAGTGATGGGCACTTGTTGACAAGTTGCTCCACAAAGTTAATGGAGAATTCTCTTTCGAATACCCTTTTCTGAAAACACGGAAACGCTCTAACATTTTTGACTACCAGGCGTCCTCCGGTTCTGGAGTAAATATGAAGCACCGTGTTTTGGCTTCCGTCAACCAGGCAATCAAGAGCAACTTGGCAGTCACTAAATGCTTCCACGTCACCATCCGCCGCAGCTTTGAACAAAAACAAGGTCCATGTAGGTGATAGCCTTTTCTTCCATAGGCTGTTCAGAGGGAATGGATGAGCTAACTGAGGGATTCAGCTGCATCATTATAAGTTCCATAGGCTGTTCCACCATGAGGGATATCATATTATATTTGGCAATACAGTCAAGGTCGTCTTCTCTTGTCCGTAATAAATTTAAAACTCTCCCAAAAGTGAACAAAACAGTATAAAAGAAAAAAATTGCAACGAGACAAGTATTTGTCTTAACGTGTAAAATCAAGCAGAAGACTTTATTTAATGTGATAAGAGACAAGTATTTGCCTGAACGTGTAAAACCAAGCAGAAGACCTTATTTTCCAAAGAGAAAATGAAATTAAATGAGGCCTTTTTCTCAGGCCACTTGCTGTATGGAGAAGTTAGTGGGAGTGCCAACAAAAATAAGATCCGAAGGAACAATACAATTGATTAATTCAACGTCTTCATATTTAACAGCTTAATAATTTGTTAATAGGGAAAATAAATTATAGAAAAACATCCTAATCATGTTATTTGCTAAGGATTAGTAGCTGTGGAGAATTTTATTATTTATAGCTCCAACAATAATTGTCCTTCGCAATTCTGGAAGAATATATTAGTTGAAAAAAACAAGTAGAGGTGTCCACGGGGTGTCATATGGACTTCTCCATTAAGCTTAAAATATTAATTTCATAAACTAAGGTATTGTAGACATTTATCTGTGTTCGGAGTCTATCGAGTCGATTTTTATTATTGTAGTTATTTTTATTATCATTTTTTAGTTTAGTGTATCTAAAAAAATTTAATTTATATACATGCTCTAGGAATATCAAGACAATGAGAAAAAAAATATTAAAATGATATAATCTATTTCTTAAGCATCCTAAAATACCTTTACTTATAGGATGCGTCTTGCCGTCTTAGAAATAATTATGGAATGATTTATAATTTTTGAATGACTAATTAATTAAAATGAATTTAAAAACCAAATCAAGATCAATAATACTATTTTAAATTGAGAGTAATTTATACTTGATGATTATAATAATCAAACATAATTGTATTAACTTGTTTGGGAGAAATTGAAAAAGAAAAGATTTTGAAATTAGTGTAATAATGGTAATGAAATCCATTTGATATTATATATACCAAAATTAATTTTAATTTTTTAATCATCTATTAATTATTTTAAAATAATATACATATATATTAAACATATGTATATATAAATATATATATATATATATAGTTTAAATGGTTGAGTAAATAAATAGGTCATAGGTTAAAAAATTGACAACCAATTTTTTTTTTTTTTACACAATGTAGTTTAAGAGTTGAATATTTACAATTGCAAAAGTGGTGACAAAATTATTCTATGATGATGGAACTTAAAGTTTTATTATCTTTAATATGAATTTAATTGGAAGTGATTTAAGGTAAATAATAAAGTATAAATGTAATTAATTTATTAGAAGATACATGATAATTTTTTAAAATTGTTTACATGTCAATTATATTAGCCATCCACATTGAATAATTTTTATTTTTATCAAAAGTTTTGGCTTTTATATATTTATATAAGATTATATAAAATAATATATATATATATATATATATATGAAACGTGTGCGTGCGCGCGTGTGTGTATAGCATAACTTAAATGATAGAGTAAATAAATAGGTCATAGGTTAAAAAATTGGCAATTGAATTTTTTTTTACACAAATATAATTTAAGAGTTGAATATTTATAATTGGAAAAGAAAGTGACAATTATTCTATGATGATGGCAATTAAAGTTTTATTGCCTTTAATATGAATTTAATTAAAAGTGATTTAAGGTAAATAATAAAATATAAATGTGATTTATTTATTAAAAGATATATGACAACTTTTTAAAATTGTTCACATGTCAATTATATAGGTTAGATAATTTCCTTTTTGGTCAAAGGTTTTGACTTTTATATATTTATATAAGATAGAAGATGTATGTTTGATTTAATTTTTATTGAATTTATCTAATTAAATTTTAATTAATTAATTTAATTATTTAATAATATAATACTTGATTATCATTATAATTTTTTGTATATTTATAATTTCAAAATATAGCATAAATTTAAGAAAAAAAATTAATCCTTTCAGCGTTGAAATCGGGGAATTTAACAACTTCTTTGTCGGATCTGTTGGTGTAATGAACCATAATCATTAAAATATATTTACCATAAAGTCTATATATCTACCATATTTTAATGCAATGGTATTATTATATTATGGTAGTACATGTCATTATCTCCGATATTGAAGACTATTGAAGTCTATCATCATATTGAAGTCTATACATCTATCATATTTTAATGCAATGTTATTATCGTATTGTATATGTCGTTGTCTTCAATATATATCTATCGTGTTGAAGTCTATATATCTACCATATTTTAATGCATATGGTTTTATTAAAATAGGGTCGGTATATGTTCTCTTTCATATATATCTATCATATAAATATGGTAATCTGATAGATATATATTGAGTTAAGAACTACTATTATCGTCTCATTTAATAATTGAAATTAAATCCCTCTATTTGTATATTTATGTATAAAATATAAAAATTATCATATTAAATTTATATTGACATAATAAATACAAAACATTTTTTTTTTATTTTTATCCATCCACATACAACTTTCCCTAAATTTTAAATCATTGCTTTCATATTTTTTTTGTTCATATAATTTTTATGTCGTATTTAAAATTTTTAAGTCTAATTGAAATAGATGAATTTGAAATATTTTTAAAAGGTTATTTTTTAAGGTTGCAAACATAAAATTTTGGTTTTATATTGATGTAAAGTTGTAGAAATCCGACTTAATTTATGAATATTGTTTACTTTGACTTAGTTTTATGGTTTTATTTCATAAAAAATATTTTACAAATAAATATATATATCATATAGTTACTACAAGAAAATGAAAGATTAGTGGCAGTTTTGTAGCAGCGTTTCATTTACAAATACCATTAACTTTCGTGTTTTTATAAAACTTAAGGCGTTTATTATCAAAACGCCACTAAATATTTAAATAGCGGCGTTGTTACTTATAAACGCCATTAAAGACAAAAAAAGTAGTGGTGTTTATCGACTAAAACGCTTTGAATAATCCTTTCTAAAAAATTGGAGTGATTATTGAAGGTATTTTTTTGTAGAAAATGCATTGAATAATCCCCTTATAAAAAATAGATAAGGGATTATTGAAGGCGTTTTCTACAAAAAAACACCTTCAATAATTCCCCTAAAGAATTGTAAAGGATTATTGAAGGCATTTTTGATCAAAAATATCTTCAATAAATCTCCATGTCAATAAATCTACCACAAATGGAGTAGCATTATCGGTTGGAGTATATGGTCATTAACCATAAGATTGTAAGTTTGATCCCTTCCTTCAGCATTTTTTGGATTTTTTACACCTTCAATAATCGCCTCCAATTTTTTTAAGAGAATTATTGAAGGCGTTTTTGGCAATAATCCTTCAAAAAACCTAAAAAATGCTGAAGAGAAGAATCAAACCTACAATTTTATGATTAATAACCGTATGCCCTAACTGACAATGCTACTCTATTTTGGGCAGATTCATTGACAAAAAGATTTATTGAAGGTGTTTTTGATAAAAAATACTTTCAATAATCCTCTACAATTTTTTAGAGAAATTCTCGAAGGCGTTTCTGGCAGAAAACGCCAACAATAATCGCTTTTATTTTTTATGAGCAGATTATTCAAGGCATTTTTTGCCTGAAACTCCTTCAATAATCCCTTATAAAAAATTGGAGAAGATTATTGAATGCGTTTTTTTGCATGAAACACTTTTAATAATCCCCTCATAAAAAATGAAGAGGATTATTGAAGGCATTTTTTTTTACAGAAAATGCCTTCAATAATCCCTTCTAAAAAATTGGAGGGAAATTATTGAAGGTATTTTTAGCCAAAACGCCATCAATAATCTCTTCTAAAAAATTGGAAGGGATTATTAAAGGCGTTTTTGGTCTAAAATGCCTTTAATAATCTCCTTATCAAAATTCAAAAAGATTATTGAAGGTGTTTTTTACCTAAAATGCCTTTAATAATCCCCTCTAAAATATTTGAGGGGATTATTGAAGGCGTTTTTGCTCCTTATCAAAATTTAAGGGGATTATTGAAAGCATTTTCTTGCCTTATGATATTTTTGATACTTATTTGTACTTTTTGAACCTTGTTTAAGCCATATTTTATGACTAATCAGCTGTCTTATAAGAAGTTTATGCTTTCCATATATCTTTGCTGGTGCAACTTAAAGCACAAACTGATATTTTACCTTTCATTTTTCTTGTCAGAACCTGATCTGCTATCATTTTCATTTTCTCTCCAACCAAATAGCTTTTAATTTTCAGTTTTCTTAATTGAATCTTGTTACAATTTTAGGTTTCTACACTCTTTTTGAATGTTCTTTAAGGTTTTCATAACGAAATTTACAAATTCTCATGATTTTCTTTTCAAATTCTATAAAATTCAGGTTGAACTCAAATATGGTTTCAAAATTGCACACCTAACCTATCTTTAGTCTTTTGATCAAAACTCAGTGAATTCTAGCTTGATTTACTTCAAAAATTTTTCCTAGATTCCTAGTTCATAAGGCTATAATCTAGTAAAAAGTCACCCTCCAATTCCATTTGTACAAGTATAGTTAATTCTTCAAATTTAAGGCTGAATCTAGAAGGCAGAATGATCCATGCATGAGAACTTGATGAATGATGATCCTCTCTCCTTCTAGGTGTTTGATTTGATTCTTTCATACTTTACATTCTTAGTTTTACATGTTTACTCGTTATTTTTTCATTGATTGCATTTATTTTCATGAATTCATTTGGTTTTTGGATAGATTTAGTTGTTAATGCTCTGTTTTTCTCTGTTTTGAGTATCACTTGAATTGCTAGTTCATTAAGCTGGTTTTTCTCTATTTTGCTGCCATTTTCTTATTGAATTTTGTAGCAAACTTGATAGATGAATTGTTTCTTAGCTCATTTCAAGTTCATTTTCATTATAAGCTTCTAGACTTAATTTTTTCTTTCAACAACTTAGTGAGTTTCGATTGAATTTCACTTTATATTTTAGTTGTTTCTAGTTAATTATTGTATTTTCTTGCACTTTTTGTTCTTCAAATTAGTTTTCCTTTTGGTTCCTTAATTGATCTTTTCAATTCCAGTTTATGATCACTTGCTTTAGCATCAATTAGATGTAGATCAATTAATTCACATTTGGTTACAAGTTAGTTGTTAGTTGCAGTTTTGTGTTCTTTTATTACATTGTGCCGTTTTTTTGCAACTTTTTCTTTTCAAATTGATTTCTCATGATTTTTTTTGTAGATCTTTGAAATTCCAGCTTGTTTTGAAGAAAATTTAAAGGAACAAAAATGAAAATTCAGATTTAATAGACTAGTTTTGAGATGTATTCTATTTCAATTATATGTGTGTGTCTAGGGTTGGAGTTGGATTTGTTTTGAACCAATTGCTTTAAAGTTTGGGCTACTACACTTGTAATGTTGATAACTTATCTGTAGAAGAATTTCCTTTATTTAATGTATCCTAAAGTTGATATGTGTTAAGATACTCTTACTTGTTTATTTGAATGAAGATCTACATGTGGCCAAAGGGTTATTTTATCCCAAAAGTCAAGGAATTTGGGCTTTTTCCATAAATTGGTATGATTGAAAAAGGTTAAAAAAGGATGTTTTGGCTTCAAGCTTTTAATATCGAAACAAGAAATTAAGTTAATTGTTTTAGTATGACCCATTATAAAAAAATTAGTTTTAAGGTTCAATCTAATTATTTTGTCGCACCTATAAATCACACTCATCTTGCTATTAATGATTGAGTTTGGGAGTTATATGCAACATGCCCTTTGTATTTATATCTCTTTCAATCAGAAACTTTTTTGTTGATGTCATCCCTTTAAATCTTATTCTTCTTCTAACTTTGTATCATAAAATAGCATGGCTAGCAATATTTTACATGTGTATGCCAATTGGATATGCATTCAGATGTGTTTACGATGGAATAGTAAGTTTTCTTTTCTAGCTTTTTTATAGGTATTTATTAAACTGATCTCCTTAATTCCTTCCTAGTTTAAGAATAAAAGAACCATCCTTATTTCAAATATGCCAAGTTTTACTACTGTCCATATTTTATGATGCTCTATGCTCTGCCCATATGTTAATATGAGATAACTAGCTAACAAGTTAGCAATCATTTAAATTGGCATTTTGCATTTTGGGTGGAAACCATTGTGATGCTTCCATTTGCTATTATGGATTTTATTATGAAGCCTTTGCAGTTGAAAGGTGCATACTGTAGACCTATAAACTTGGATTGGTCTTCTATACTTTTTCCAATTACTTTATAATGATTCCATGATACAATTTTTGCTGCTGCTAAGTCTAAAAAAGCATTGATCTCTGTAGACACAGCTGTACCATCAGTTCAAGGTGTAGCATAGTTGATTTATCCATTACACAATTTGCATTTTCCTCTTGAAACTCTATTGTGTGGTCATTTTATTTTGAAAGATTGGTTTATTTCCCTCTTGAAGCATTTAAATCCATTTATTTCTATGAATTTATTTATGAGCTGAAAATATGATTTGAAATGGTTTATCTTATAAACTTCATGGAATCAAATAATCTTTATCTTTTTCCAATGCAATCAAACATGAACTTGATTGAGGATCTATCTCTCAGCCTTTCGTATATTCTATTCCCTCAAATTATATGGCATTGCATTTCAAGTCTAGCAATTTCATAATGAAATATGCAAAATGGAAGAACTATGATTATGAAAGTCATTTTTGTGAAATGCACTAAGAAAGGGAGTGTACATCCCTTTGCCTTGTGCATTTATCTAGATCATTGGCCAAAAAATATATCTTAGTTTGTTGCTTTGGTTAAATCTGTTTCTCTGTTATTTCTGCATGTATGTAATAATGAGATATTGTATATCTTCCTTGATTTTATCTTGCATTACAAATTTTATGGTACTTTTTATAGCTTACCCAGTGACATTTTTCAATCAGGATAGAACATGAAGTTGTGGAAAAGATAAATGAAATGCACTATGATGCATTTCTAACAACACATTTTGAGGTTCCTGGACAAATGTTCTCTTTAGCAATGGAAGCCAATAGGAGGAATGGGCATTGTAGGTTCCATTCAAAGCAAGCGCGACTCCTTCCATAGAGTCCGTTAATGGGTAAGAGGAAAACAAATGCAAAGTGGAATGTTATTGTATATACTAAACTTTGTGTTACATGTATATTGGAACAAATTATGTATTTAGATATTAAAATATTTATAATATTCAATTTATGAATTTAAATTCATTTTTATTTCTTTTAACAATTTTTATTTAGTTATAATAAATATTAAAAGAAAATTAAAAAACAGTAAAATTTTTTATTTAGTGGCATTTGTATTTAAAAATGTCACTAAATGCTGAATTTAGTAACATTTGTATCAGAAAACACCATTAAATTTAGTGGCGTTTTTACTACAAACGCCATTATTTTCAGCATTTTACGGTGTTTTTAAACATAAACGTCGCTAAATTAGTGGCATTTTTTTATATAACCGTCACCAAAGTAATGGCGTTTTTTTTATTAAAAACACCAATAAATTAGTGGCATCTCAAAGATACAAATTAGTGGCATTTTCCAAAAAATGTAACGTCGTCATTTTTCATGATGCGTGTATAGCCGACACTCTGACTGGCATTTTTCACAAATGTCGTAAATATTTTAGTGGCATTTATAAGCACTGTTAAATATTTAAAAAAATGCCACTAAAAACCTAAACCTTGTGTGTGTATCTCCACACTTAATAAATATGGGATCGGGGCACACAATAGTGCAATTTAAACAAAGGTGATTGGAATGAGAGTAATGAATGAGGATATAAAAGGGAAAGAGGATTCCATGATTTGCTTTAGAAAAATTAATTGTGTGCTAGCACTTGCCTTGGCTTAGTCGAATAGGAGAGCCTTAATTAGCCAGCCAAATTATTTATCCAAAAAAAAATTAGCAGCCAAATTAATTGTAATGACGTAGTTGGATCCCCCAGTTAGCTCATTCATTCCCTTTCGTTCTGAACAAACTCAACAAGCAGAGGCTATGACCTACATGGACAGTGATTTGTTCAAAGATTCAGAAAATGGTGTCATGGAACTATTGTTAATTAATTTAAGAAAAACAAAAATAGTAAGAAAGAAGAAAATATGGCTTTGAGGCGTGAATAACACTATCTTAAAGGCAATTATGCCTATAGGATATAACAAAGCCTTAAAACTCTTTAAATTAGAAGTAGTGAAATTGGTTAGGCAGAAAGATCTATTTATAATAAAATGAATAGTCATCAATCAAGCCAATTCAAAAAGTTATGATATTTTGTATAGTCATAGTTTATTGTTTAAATAAACTTTATTTAAACAATCATATTTTTCACTGTTTAAACATATTTATTCAGAATTAGTAATATTTTGAAATAAATAAAAAATAATAAAAATAAAAAGATTTAAAAATTAAATCAATTTGCCAAACAAGCCCAAGTGCCCATCTTTGACTTTTTAAAATTGTATGACCCACTAGGAAAACTCTCAACAAGCCTAAATGACTTAGCCCACTCCGACACTTCGTTCAATTACTTAAATAATATAAGTAATTTCTTTTAAACCATATATAAGTGATCTTTCTACTCAATGTGGATTCACCACATTCTAAACTACCAACAACTATTTGAAAAGTGTCAAGTTGATCTTCATTGCCTGGTTGATGGAAGGCAAGACACAGCGCTCCATATTCACTCCAGAACCGGAGGACGCCAGGTAGTCAAAAATGATAAACGGTTTCTGTGTTTTCGGAAAAGGAGATTTGAAAGATATTTCTCCGGTAACTTTGTCAAGCAACTTGTCGACAAGTGCCCATCACTGCTACTGCAACCCAATGCCAAAGGAGAAATTCCATTGCACGTAGCAGTTAGACATGGTCATTCTGATATAATCAAATTCCTTATTGAACGCGCCAAAGTATTGGAGCGTGAAGACCTGTAGAAAGCGTTGGAAGCAACCAGGAAGAAGCAGATGCTGGGAATGGCAGATAAGGAGGGAAATACCGCTTTGCATATGGCAGCTGAAAGTGCTAACCATGATGTGGTGCGACAACTGGTGGAGGAATTAGATCCTGACTTTTCATCCTCCGCTAATAAACGCGGTGAGACTCCAATCTACATAGCTGCCAAGGGAAGCAATCCTTCGGTGTCTGAGATATTGAATAATTGCAAATCAATGGAATGTGGCGGCCCTGATGGTAGAACTGCTTTGCATGCAGCAACCATGGTCGGGAAGGAAGGTAAGTGAGCTTATTATTTTGTGCGATCCGCTGTTGTTTTGGGTTAATATAATTAAGACTATGATTGACACTTTTACTTTTTTTTTTTTTAAATTGAATTAAAAATTAGAAATTTAAACATAATAGAAAACCAAAGATAAATATAAAAAAAAAAAACCAAAACAAAAATATCTTTTGAACAAAATTTTTTTAGTCTTTCACTCCTCATTTCACGTCATTAACCAAGTAATTAAACCACTTTTCCACTTGGCAAGGTAAGAAAAAAATAAATTCTTTTTTTTATATATACATTAAAAAAAAAGGTTCTTATCTTGATGTGGATATGATAATGTGGCAAAGTTCTTGCCATGTCTTAGGAGCTCGGTTCGTGATCTTTTAAGGACTAAAGCAGCAAACAATAATATTTATCTATAATATAAATTTGACATATTTTTGGGTGCAATGTGGCATCTCATGAGCTTTTTTATGTTTAATAATTAATTTTATTATTATTTTTTTAATTTTGTATTGAATCTATTTGATATTTTTATTTTTTTGTTATTTTAAATTAGATATTTTTGTAAAAAATAACAATAGAGGTGCAGATAAGACATTCATTTTTTTTTCTTTTTTGTTAATTTATTATTAAATTTCATAAGAAAATGAGGCCAAAAAGTAATGTCACCTAGTTGTCCACGTGGCAACACTATTCGGCTTTTTTTGTTAAGTTTTCTAATTTTTAATTAAATAAATTTCGTGAGAAAATAAGTTAATATAGATAAAAATGACAAAATAATCCATTTTTATGGATTTTGACCCCTTCAGATCTAATAGGGGGGTTCTTTTTTTAAATTGATATTTGGTTGGGAGAGGATTTATTTTTTCAAAAATCGTGATTGGATCGGAGGCAAGTTTAGTTTTTTTTTTTGTCTCGGGATATAAAAAAATATGTTTATTTATTATTTATTTAATTATATATATACATGTATTATATTAATAAATTTATTTTTAATATATTAATTTGATACAAATACAACATTTGTATATAATTAAGATGAAATTATATAAAAAATTATATTTTTATTAACATTATACTAAATTAAAATTATTAAATTAATTTCAAATCAAATTAGGTCAAATGTATGCATATATATATATATGTATATATAGCTGGTCAAAATCAGGTATATAAAAAAAATATGATGTCAAGTAAGAGTTGGAGTATGATTAAAATTATTAAAGAGTCGGATCGACGTTAGGTCAATTTTCCAATCCAACCAGCACCATATCTAAATGTAAGGTGTCTATGTGGCACCCCCATTTGTCTTTTTTTTTTTTTTTGCTTTGGCCTTTTCTCTAATTTTAGCTTTTTTTTATTAATTATCTATTTTAGTATTTCTTAATTATGTTTGGAAAGATAAATGGTTAATAGAGGTCTTCACATGACACCCCCGTTTGGTTTCCTTTTTTTGGCCTTTCATTTTTTGTTTTTTTTTTTAATGAGATAAATTTCGTAAAAAAATAAGTCACCTAGAGATAGGAATGATAAAATAAATTGTATTTGATAGGTTTCGACCCATCTCAATCTAATAGGGACAATTTTTTTCATTTGAAAATTGGGACCAGGTGGGGGTCGGGGGCAATTTTTTTCTTTTTGAAATTTAGGATCGAATTGGAGGTGGGTTTGTCTTGCTTCGACCTCCTTGAGATATATATAAAAAATATATATTTCATTATTTATTTATTTATTTTTATATTTATATATATGTATTATATTAATCAAATTATTATTTAATATTAATTAAATAAAAATTATATTTATATATAATTTATATTAAAAAATAATTATTTTATTTTTTTATAATTGAGACTATCAAGATTTGATCTTTGATCACTAGAAGTATAAGTTCAACACTTTATCAATAGATCATGTAGTTGGCAAAAAATTATATTTTTTAAATATTTTACTAAATTAAAATTATTGAATTCATTTTAAGTCAAGCTAGATCAGATGCAATTACAAATATATGTGTAAGATTGGAGTCGAGTATAAAAAAATAACTCGATACCAATTCTGAGTTGGAGCCAATTTGAATTATTATATAATCAAAACGGGTTTAGGCAAGTAAAAAGCAATCTTGACCTAACCAGTTATCATCCCTAAACAGAGGTATCTACATAATACTTAAATCTCACTCCTTTTCCTTCTTTTTATTTTTTGACCCATTCCTTTTTTTTAGTTTTATCTTTCTTTTGTTTTTTTTTTCTAATTTTTAATTTTAGTATTTCTTAACTACATTTTAAAAGATAAAATTGAAAATGTGAATTTTGATTTGATTTGTGATATAAGTTATAAGAAAGAAATACACATTGTACATAAATTAATTAATAAATTTTCACTAATCAATAGTCACAGTACCTGGTGGATACAAGACTAAGCAAGGCATTGCGACCTTGAGTCGTGACTCAGCTTTTCAAGCCTTCATTATAACAGATACCCTGGCATTTGTTTCCTCTCTTTTAGCCATCTTCCTTCACTTTCTCTTTGTGCTTTTCTCTCCGACCAAATTCTATGTCCCAGTTCGTTGGAAAAGTCTGGCGGATTGGTTAACTTTTATGGCAATGGCAGCGATGGTGGTTGCTTTCAGCACAGGCACTTACGTAGTGTTGCAATCTTCCTTGGGGTTTGCTATCGCCAGTTGTTTCCTTGGCCTCGTATTCTTTCCCGGTCTGCTCATACCCTTTATTTTACCTTTTTGTTAATTTATCATATTAATTATTTTATTTATTTTCTTACTGACATTGCAGTTCTTAATTATTAAAATAAACTTCCTTCAACTGATATGTTTTCTTAGTT